GAATGTCGGTAGCTCAGGTAGCGTAGATGGTCGTTGGCTTGTTCGCTGAGCTGGGCTTGGTTGCAAACGTTTCATCATCAGTCGAGGTGACATCATCAGTGCGTAGTTGTGCGTAGCGGTGGGTTAGTGGTTGTGCGTTCAGTAGTGTTACGTGTGTGTTGATATACGTGCTGGTAGCCGGGGATGACCTTTGACCGCGCTTAGTTATTCTGTCGGGCGGTTCCATTGGTTGTTCTTTTATCCCGTGTCCTCATTCGCCGATGCCCACGTGACCTTGGAATTTGGCTTCCCTCGCCGTCGTAGTCTGGTCGGTGTTGGATTGACCTTTGTCCTTCCGAGTTCCGTTGTGACCTTTATTGATTTGATTCCTAGGAGTTTCTTGTTTCTTCGTTTGTTAATCCATTATTCGGTCCTCCTTGAGTGTTTCGGTTGCGATGTTTATCTCTCGCACGTAGAAGTGCGACGCCCGACAGAATAACTAAGCGCGGTCAAAGGTCATCACCGGCTACCAGCACGTATATCAACACACACGCAACACTACTGAACGCACAACCACTAACCCACCGCTACGCACAACTACGCACTGATTATGTCACCTCGATTGGTGATGAAACGTTTGCAACCAAATTGCCCAGCTCAGCGAACAAGCCAACGATCATGTTTCCTCACTATTTAATCCAAAATGTCTAGTTATGGGTGCAAGAAAGTAACTTGTTATTTTCATAAAAGAAACTACTCACCAGGTTGCTGAAAACTCTTCGACAACCCACGACCGGTTTCACCCTTCTTGGGACTCATCAGGTTGGCGCAGTCCCCGAGTTTCCGTCAACCTTATATTCTGCTTGAACCCAAATTACACTGTTTTCGAGAAATACACTCACTTGCAAATCAATTTGGTTTTCACGAGAGACTCAGCTGAAACTCTCGTTTATGATACTCTACAACTGAATGTGCTGCACACAGGCCGCTTGTTATTTGATAAATCATCGGTGATTCTACCCCGTCGAATCGTGTTTCACTGAACGGCAAGGTGCTGTACCGAAAACTGTGCTAACGGAAGATTTTCGACCCCAGCTACCTCTCTTTCCGTTTGCTCAGTGAAATTGATGCCGAATAGATTTACTGAAATAGAATAACTCGAATAGTTAGTCAGATTTGACGGGAACCTCGTTGCACCTCGTCGGACGAAAATCTAACCGCCACTGGAATAGACACCAAGTGGAGACTTCTTGCCTAGCCTTCAAAGATGCTTATCTTTTGACATAACTTTGAACCCATTCAAGACTCTTTGGATTCCCGTCTCTTCCACGTCAGTTCCTGAGCTATTAACATATTACGAGTATTGTGCTCATTGTCCCCCGCAAAGCATAACGAGCCTGATTTACAATCAAATATTTCAAAAACTTTGAAAAATCCAAGTTTTTCACATTCATACAGAATCTTTTGTCCGCTGTTTTTACCGATACTCTTGAGGTCAGCAGCACTGGGGTAAATAATATGATACGGGTAGTAGAACTTTCTTCCACAACGGTCATTCTTCTGAAGGCCTAAACTGCCACATGTGAGTGAGCCATTCGTCAACATTCAGTTGCAATTGAGATATAACTTGGCTGTCATTCAGCCAACCTGATGCACCACTGTAAGCGGGGTTATGACACCGTGTACTCCACTAAGTAGCATTGGCCAACAATCCAGCAATCCGTTTTGGAAGCAGTGAAAAGAAACCAGTGTTGTTTCATGGAGAACAATCATTCCTGGAAAAAATGCTTACGGATCATTTCTTGTTGCGTTCTGAGCGGTTTTCACTGGTTGAGAGCGTTCTAAGTTTTGCTAATTTACTTCTGTCTCTCGGCTATCGGATGTCGGAGGTGGACTCAGACAAGCTATGTTTAATTAATCGTTTTCTGTCTTTGTCTAGCATTGCAAATCGGATACTTGCTAAATCGGTTAGACTAGAATAGCCTCACGTGACTTGAAAATGTCCTATCCAGTCCAGCACTAAACGAGTACCTCAGATGTGCTGTATAAATAAAGCCGAACGATTTGTTTTTTTTTACTAGACCGTGCATTCTTGACTAACAGTCATGTTTTTGCTGCAATGATCTATCGCACTACACGCTGTGAAACTTCCGTTGTCATGGCTATTTCGCGCGTTTGTGCAACGGCGTAAGTTCCGTTCTCGGCGCGTAGAATTACAACGGCGTGTTCATTTTAGTGTCTTAGCTTGGGGATTGACTAGGAGGAGAGTTCGAATAATAGCGCTCAACAAAAACAATCGTCGTTTAGGGCTACACCAATGGCGAGAGGGACTGGACTCGAGTTTCGCTCTTATTAGAGCTCATTCGCCACGCCGAAGTTCGAATTCCGTACCTCTGACGTGTCACTGTTACTCCAGCAGTGCACGCCGGATGCACGTGAATTGTCACGTCTGAACAGGTGAACCTGTTTAGTGTTGAGCGATGTGATTGGTTTCCACCACTCCCAAATTCATCGAGCGCTTCCTCGAAACCTTACTACAGGCGATGACTTCTGTACCTTATTTGCAATAGGCTCTACTTAACCGCTAACTTGAACTACTCGGCCGTTCGTAAATATTTATTACCTTCATTCTAACTTATCATTTGAGGGGAACCTGCTAATGATCAACCAGTGTGCCTCGATTTTGTACTATGTTGGCATATATGGGCTGCTTAGAGCAACTTTGGCATCGCCATTTAAAAACTTGTCTGGCCATTATGATCCACTCGTGTCCAAAAAGCATGTATAGCCGTTTCTAGGTTCGCAGTCAAGTCTTCAATGACAGGTACAAGAACACCTAAGGATCCTGCGTACCTTACGTATCTTTAAATATACAGCAGAAGATTTCGTACCTTTCCTCGCCAAATGGACCTCTCTTCGACAGTGAAAACGTTCTGATTCCACACCACTACACTGCTCCAAGGCGTTAATCTGACTTATTCGATGACTGCATTCAATTTTTTAATGAATGCGACTTACTCTGTTCTTTCAGTGCTTCTAGCATAGTCAGCATTATACTTTTAACTGATAAACGCACGAAACTCGAAGACATGTAGGTAGTGACAAACACACGGATTACGTTGAGGTCATTGAGATCCAACCCAATATGACTTTAATTCATGCAGCAGAATTCCTTCAGATCAGGAGCAGTGATAATCTGGAGAACCTAGACTTCAGCTTCATGAGAGATAGGCATCCTTGTCGGCAAATGACCGTGCCAGAGTTGGGATCACTCTAGAGCCAGTCGTTAGAGAGTAAGCACCGTATTTTGAACTAACTATATACGTCCCAAACTATCAATACTCCCAGGTGTGTTCCCATCTGCATCGTCTCATTTGAGATACTCATGGCAGTCAGTTTCTCACTAGTGTATTCAATGAACCGCTATCTATGGTGAGGAGGTTGATATTGATGCGTATGCATCCGCCAAAGGGGTTTGTGTTTTTGTGGCGTCCGTCGCCTTGTATTTCAGTAATGTTTGTCAATCTTGATCAAGATTATACGTGTTCAGTCTTCCTAGTTATGAAGGTTGGTAATTGGTGTCAGAATAACCGTATTTTCTAGAAAACCATTACCATTGATCAGTAATTGATGATGCGGGTTGCCAGCATATTACTGTTATGATTGTTTTTATCATTGATGTCCACCAAAAATGTTTGATAGTCCGACTGGAAGCTCATGCGTATTGATATGATGTGAATGTTCAGCAAATCGGTTGCTGAGTTTTTTAGGAAAAAGCATTTGCAACTGAAAAATTGATTACGTCTTTTTCAGACAATCGGAGATGAGAGTTGTGCTGACCGCCGTGTAAATATTTTACTTTGATTAGTCACTGGGGTAGTCCACTGTAGTCTACAAAATAACCTTTCACAGTATATTTTCATGAAGGAAACTACTCACAAGGTTGCTGAAAACTCTTCGACAGCAACCTTGTGAAAAGTTTCCTTCATTAAAATATACTGCGATATCTGGAATATCGTACCAACTGAAACATGAGGTGACTTGTGTTCAGCACATTCAGTTGTAGAACATCATACTTGAGAGATTCAGTTGAGTCTATCGTGAAAACCAAATTGATTTGCAACTGAGTGTAGTTCTCGAAATCTTTCACAGTGTTATACTCTTCGCTGGGTTGGATCCGATAGTTGGCGCTAAATGGCTTTCCAACCGTCCTTCAAACAACTCCTGAATGCGGTCGAACAATTTAGGCTTTTCGAAAACCTCAGCATGGAAGGGTTGCTGGTGTATATTCACATCATTCTTATGGACAGCGACCAATGGAATGCGCGTGCTGCCTAACAAAATTTCATGAATACCCATCACAGTACAGACTTATCACAAATGAGGTCGAGTGAGGACGTTGTGTTTTAGCCACAGCATGTGGCCTGTTCACCAAACGTAATCTCTTGCGTCTTTGCCCCAAATGAAGTCCATCGGATGGATTCGGCAAAGTCGGTCATGTGGCACTTTGACTAACTAATCCCTCCACCGTCATTTACCTCACTTGTGAGCATGGCGTACTAAAGACTCCTAGTAAATCGTGAGGCGTTAATATTGAATACGTAACTATTCGTCAGAAATCCAGTTCTCTGGTGACCTTTTCGCTTAGGCTGAAATAAACCGAAATGATTAGAGTCACCTTTCCGGACATATTCCCGGTACACTAATTCGTCTAATAGGAAAACCACAAGGATTCGGGTTGTTTCCGCTGGGTGACCTCTTTTTCTGAGGAATGCAACAATGGTTTATGATTGTCAGGGAACGCTGTTTCTTACCTTTCAGGGTAGTAGTCTATTTCCGAAAGAGTCATCAAGAACCTCCTGTGTGTCGGATTTCCCCGTGCTTCTCGCTTATTCATATCTGGGTTTGGGTAACTTTGAAATACCTGAACTTGTCACGCGGCAGCTATATACCGAAAGTACATCACATTCATTTGTTGTCCGGTTTAACTCAGTCCAATCTTCATTACGCCTTCTTTTCAGTGCCGTTGATATATGGGCTGTGGGGTGCTTGGCTGCGGAAATGCTCACGGGTAATCCTCTGTTTCCCGGCGATTCGGACATAGACCAGCTCTACCATATTGTTCGCTGTCTAGGTGAGTTTACGTCATCATCGACTAGATCGTATCATAGTGACATTTGTTTTGAACTCCCCGTGGCACACGCCCACTAGGAAAGCAGCTGCGTCGGAAAGGAAACGGCGGAATAGTTTCATTTTATCCAACATCCTTCCTGTATGAATTCCATACTGAAGACAACTCAGTAATCCAACGTTAGAAACAGCTCTTAGTTGGTGTACGCAATTCTCAATACCATTACATATTCGGTGCAGTTGGCCGCTGTCTTCTATTTATCTCCAGTTATTTAATAATCCTTGTTACAAGCTTGGAACCTTGCCGCCTATCACTAAAATCTCACTGCTTTGAAAATAATGAAGCTGTCAATGAGTACAAGCTCACAGTCCAGATATGCTGGTCTTACTTGCGAGCGAGTACCGTAGGTGCCAAACAAAACTGTTTATCTTGCACCCTGAGGTACTACAGCACAGCCTTCTCATGGGGCAAAAATATTGGAACCCGACTTCTGCAACAGAAGTGTAATTCTATGCGTTTGCCTGAGATGTCGCCATCAATACAGGAAGTACAGTGACCAGTCATTCAGCTACTCGACCCTGTGCCTTGCCTGAGTACAGTGTGAAAGAGAAATTAGTAAAAGCACTTTTTCAACGGACGGTGACTGGCTATTTAGCTCACTAGTCCAGACACACCATCAAATCGCACAGGATTACAAAAAACCTAACCCATCCCTCTCTGCCAGCTTCCAGTGGATGAACACCGATCGGTAATCTTGGTAAATAAAATGTCACGAATTTGCCTTACTTACCCTAGCGAGGGGGTTTAGTTGGACCCTAATGACCGGATCAAGAGTGAAATTTGTATGTGCGGTTCGGCTGGCTTTCGATCATCTACCACTTAAATCTTCAAATGATAAAAGAACTGCCGTTCAAACAGGCATACCTCCTTCAGCTACTCGAATTTAAGATCCTTCGATGAAGTGAATTCCTGCAGGAGGACTCACGCTTGTCCCATTCTCAGTCTATCCTGATTGTGAGGTGTAAACGGAGCTATACTTCCTTCCGGTCCGTTTTCCTCCGCTGAGCTCAGATGCTTGAGATGCACGCTCTCCCTCCCTGTTTACTGACAATCGTGTAGTAGATTTTGAGATTTCATGAACTCACAAGCACTCAATATTCAGAGAAAGATTCCTGCAAAACGCAATACTAGTTTGCCGGATGGAGTCCAACAAAAAACGGAAATAAACAGCTAGATGTGAATCTTCGAAAAAAGGCACCCGAACGCAATCGTACAGGCGCGTATGCGGTTGCGTTTTTGGTGCCAGAATAAATGAGATGCGCAGCAAGTTTGATTCAGTAACAACGTTTTTCCCACAGTACGTAGTTGACGCTTTTCCAACCCCTGTTTCCACAATGCGACTCTCAGTACTTTGCCGGTGGGTGGCTGGTGGAGTATTGCACCGATACTGACACTCCTGTATCGCAAAGTCGCTGATAATCTTTGCTTCTGTATGTAAACCCGTATCTGAAAAAAACAGTCCATCGGACGCCATTAGTACACACATTGAGTGAGCCCGCATTCTAAACGCCAGCCTGCAGCACTAAACACTGAACATCTCAGGTCACAAGCCTGACTGGTAACTATAGTTACTGTGGGTCAGTGATAAGATCCACATTGATTTACGTATAGGGAGGATTGTTTTCCCACTCGAAAGGGAGTGAGCGATAAATAGGGCTAAATAGTGATTGAGCTCGGTAATTTTCTTTGGTTCTTACCTGATCTCTTTACCAAACTGTTATACCTGCTGATTCGCCAATCTTTTGTATCTAACTGCTGACCCGCTCCAGTGCCTGATGCCTGAAAAAAGACTCACAGCCATATTCCGTACAAGCGAGTGCGAGAGCGTGAGTGCATGCGAGTGCGAAAATACGACGGTCTCTAGCCATTTATTGGAGGGACACTGTATGAACTTGATCCAATGCTGACGCGCGCGGTCTGGCTTTGATACGAGGCTGTTGCGCGCTGCATATTAAGGGGGCGTTGTCTACCTGGTCAGCATCTAGCGGAGCTAAGGGTCTCAGTAGACTTCGGGTTTTCAGTGGTTGCTTTCAGGAATCTGACCTTCCTGATACAGAGGCAATATCTTCTCGATACTGTTGTTGCGTGTATTCGAGAAGGAAACCTTTCCTTCCAAGCTTGGAAATTATATCAGCTATTATCCGGTTGAATATTCGTTATCTGAACAATTCCCTAAAGAATAATCGGTCTTCTCGAACTCCTTCTGAACTATGTACCTGAAAGTAGGTTGGTGCTTCTCGGTTCGCAGGGAAATTCGCGGCATTTCCAGCAAGTGGTTGAAAAACCCATCTAGCGAAAATGGAGTTGTTTTAATGGTTAGAAGCGTGTTCGTACTTGCGCGCTATCTGCAACACAGTTCACATTGGACCATCGTATATGTTTTCGTATCCACCGTTCAAAACCTTTTTGATAGGTCAACGAAGTTTAGTGCAGTAAAATCCTAAGCAAATAGGCACTCGGCATTTGCAGCATGGTGTTCCCCTCACCGGACTTCATAAAAGCACCAACTTTCATTTTCCCAGTTTGTCCCTTTTTTTCTTAATAAGAGGAGAACTTGTTCACTGCGACGAATAAATTAAGTGGAAATCGATGATTTGGATATTTAGAGACGTCGCAAAAAAGCATCACATTCCGGGTGCGTAACCGGTTCATGACGCAACCAAGAACCTCAATTTCATCATTCATAACATCACACTAAAGTGACACAGAAATGCACTCGTCTTCTCATGGTACGGGCTTAATCAAACGTTTGAAGAAGGGATAATGATTGCTTGGCCGTGTAATTTTGTCTGGCAGCACATAGACGCCGGTGTACATGAGCTATTGAATGTCTGCATGCATGCGGACGCTGACCATGACTGTTGTAGGCAGAAAAACAAAGGAAATTGTTTAAGTTTGTCCTGATAGCTGGTACCACCATCATATGATATTGCCATAGCAAGTACAAAGATGTGCTCAACAGCACAAGTCAAAGAGGTAACGGTCTTAGTAAGTGAGGGGACACAAAGCCAATCATCATTCTTGACTTTGGTTAGTAACAAAGGATGTGTGAGCAACTTGGATATGGCAACTCTAGTGTGCACATGTGAAGGAAACCTAGGTATTTTTTACTTTAATTCTCCTTGTAGTGCAGCTTGGATATTGGCACGCGGTGCCCTTATGCTCCTGTCTAAACTCAAGCTGGGATGAATACTATAGAACACTGAGAAAGATTGTTCAGGTGTGGGGTGCATTTTTGTAACATTTCATCTCGTACTTTGGCCTATATGATGATTGTGACAGTGTTTGGGCTGTAAGACCAACACCACTGCAAACAGTGTGAACGTCCCCATGATGTGCTCGGTTTGCGTACATCTACAACTCACAGAGATATACTGGATGTTCCATTTGATACCTGCGGAGTTTCACATGTCGCATTGGTCTGACAATTTTCTGGTCCCCCAGGTTGGAGGTTAGAATAAGCACGGTGATCTGCCCACTAGAAAAACTTGTATCATTGTGGTCGCATGCTGCTCCCCACACATTGCATTACGGTCAAGAGATAAAAGCTATGGCTAAGAGCCCTAGACATCCTCTCTAGGCCTGGACGACCTGGTAGTGTTCCAGCCCACGCACAACCATAAATTGCACAAGTACAAATTATATCATCCCATCTCGCGGTGTCATCAGGCAGGTCACCTTAATTGATACGCACGGCAGGGTGAGTAAGCAAGAACATGCTACTTCTGACGCCTCCCTTCCTAACTCACCCTGTTGTGAGTCCTCTATTTGCTGGTACTCAGCATTAGGCCTGGCTGCTCTGTTCACTTTATACAGTGGCCGGTTCCGCTGCGCATGCATTCCGCCCCTAAAATTGGTTCCCTTGCCGTGTCGATTGTTGTGCTTTGTCGTATGGGTTCAGAGGCACACTGAGCACGGAGCCGCATTGGACGCTTCTTCCCTATACAGGCCATATTTCAAGTTATGAGAAAAGTGTTTGCGCATCCGTGCATGACATGCGTTTTTGCACAATCTGTGTGCGATCAAGGAATAAACCTGTAATTTCCTGAATATTTCATGCACTTGGTCTTCGCCATATCACTTACCATGTATTTGCATGTGTGCAGAAAACCCCTGCATGTCCGGTTGCGTCCCGCGAGGCAGCGGTGATCTTCTGGGGGTGCATCTGACAGCATTTAGTGCTACTAGCGCTCGTTTTTCCCTTTCACCAAATTTCTGGCCCCCCAGATATTTACGCACAACTCTCTTTCCAGATTCCATATCCTCTCCAAGCGCGATAAAGCGTCTGCATCATGCAGAATGCTAAACATCCCACGCATTAATCTGTTTTAGCTGGTTTGTGGAAGAGATGTAACCACTACCAAGGGCAGATATCTGCTTGAATCCACAGTTTAGAAGAGGCAGATGAGTGATGAGCTACTCTGTCAATGTGGCAAGTAGAAGTGCTGCTGCTCTCCCCAGGGACACTTTACAACTTTCAAGTACTCGCATTGAGTTTGAAGTTGTTTCATTTAACCGGTAATTAGGTTGCTGCGTCTCACCGGTTACTTCCGAGTTGAACCAGACGCTGTTTTGAATCAACTGCGATTATGTATACCTTTAGAATATTTATCACTTGCGATTTATTAGGTTGGAGCATTGGCCCATCTGGGAAGTTTTTCGTATCGACGACCATGACTGATCGGTTACTTTTTAGGTAGATTCTGTTGCATGGAGCTTGTCTGGACTCCCCAGCGGAATAAATACGTGAACCATCGTTTGAGTATGAACTCCTGCCCAGTTTCTGGATCAGTGGGGTTATCAAACTGTGAAATCGGACAGATCCATTACGAAGAATATGCATTTTCACTGCTAATCTATCGGTCTGGGCAATTTTTTACTCATTTGATCACGTCCCACAAGTGCTTTAGGAGTTCTTCTACGTTGTTTTGACTCACATAAAACTTGTGAAGGCCTTAGCTTCTTGACGCATTTTCTTTAAAATGAACGAATTGGCAGAGCACGGCAAAAAGTAGTGGTCTTTTCATAGGTCTTTTACTGATGAAGCGACATGTTTGCACAGTTTTGAAGATGGGACTGGCAGTCATTTGGAAGGCGTCCATTCGAACTCGGGCGATAGAAATGGATATTAATCACTTGGCTACCCGAGCCCACGTAACAGTGTATTCGTATGCTTGGCTAGGCTGAGCGTACCTACTTCAGGCTGCATCAAGTTCTACGTTAACCACTTATCTGATCTTTGCTTCTCTTTTCGGCCATTTGGGGGAATATGGGTCTGAGCAGGTAGTTGCGAACCAAAAAGGATGATGTGAGACTCGAAGAAATCTGTAGTTTACAATATTGTTTAACTGAAAGTGCAATATCCAAAGCTTCTTAAAGATCCGACTGAGCCAGTAATACTCTTCCGTAATGCAATTTACGGCTTATTGGGTTGATGAAAATTTTTAGGCAATAATGTTTAGTCGGAGTACCTTCATGCGTAACCCCAACAGTCAAAACATGGTGTATATTGCGGTCAATTGATTCCGTTTATCAGAAGACATCTCCACATGCTATACTGGACAAAATGGGAGGGAAAGTGTATTTTCCTCCGTACTCCTTTTTTTACCACCGTTTCGCCGCGGACCTCAGTGTTTTGGCCAGAGTATTCTTCTTGGTGGTAGATACAAACGAGCTTCGTCCAAACTTGGCAAAGCGCTTGATGTACAGAAAGCAAACTGTAGGTCACTTCCTCTATAATCCGACGTTTTATACCACACCCGTCGTTCGCGGACGAGCATGTGAGGACGGCGCCAGCACCGCGTACCTATGCAGCCTGATAACAGTCCGAAATTATCAAAGGGCTGAGATATATAAGCTCTTTAGATGTACAGCTCAGTTTTGTTCTCAAGGCACTGTCCGTATCGGGGAGAAACTTCTGAGGGTGCTGTCATAACGGGTTCCCAATCTGTCGATAAAAATTGACCAAACAACATAACCGTCTCCGCTTCCGTTGGTGAAACTGAAAATTTCTTGGGGCCTTATAACTTCTAAAGAAATATTTCTTCACTGAAAATATTCGATACAAGTTTATTGCATTTATTCGTCGAATGTTCAACTTGATCTTACGCAGTCAGCCTTTTCAGATGGTCACACCACCGGAGCTTCCAATTCTATTACCTTACTTAGTTTGCCCAATTAAGAGAAACATGGACGCCTCGTGGTGGCATGTGTGTTTTAAATGATGCTTGAAGTTTCACTAGGTCATATACAACATTTTAGTGTAGCCACCTTGCAGGACGAATGTGATTTCCAGGTGATGCTAGGCTTCTTATTGCGTATTATCGCCTTTTACTCTATCCAGTAAACGGCCATAACTTGGCACTTTTACAGTGACCGGTCAACTCCGCTACTTTCAAAGTTACTGACCGTCTCATGCTTCCTCACATTGGACTTTCCATCTTCGGGTTTGCTGACAAGGTAGAAAAGAAGCACATCAGATTGTGCCTAAGACCTAGTTCGGCACCCCTTTAGCACCGACGCCATCTACTCGATATAGTCATAAGTTGATCTAGTAGTTGTCAATATTTGTCGGAAAACACTGTTTCATTCAATTTTATACCGTCAAATGTAATTTAGGGGAACGAATTTCCGCTGCATCACGCAATTAAACAAAATCAAATGTCGTTTAGAACAACGGTCTTCTGCAATAGCAGCTGATCAAACCATCGCTGAGTCACATTAATATTTACTGAAACAGCACTCGTGGATGAAGCTGACAACCAGACTGACATCATATAAAATCTGGCATTACCTAAGAATGTGGTTATCTAGTTCTTCTTTTCCCGCCAGCTGCTCACCCCCCCCTCCTAATTGCTCCGACTACACCCTGTAAACACAAACAAGGTATTTGCATTGTTCCACATTTGCCATTCGTATTAATGTATTGTAGGGTATAGGTTAAAATATTAAGGTTCCATCGACTATCACAGCAGATTAGGTTGCAGCCGTGTCTTTAAAAGCAATAATTTATTAGCTTTGAGCAGTCGATTAGCAGTCACCTTATTCTAGAATATCATATGTTAGGAAAAGGAAGCCTAACGGATGGTAGTTAACTCCTCCAAATATTCTGTGCTTTTACGGTAGCTGATATCTGAAATTTCCTTTACCCAGAAAAGTTCAACCACTCGTAGAAGTTGAAGGAAATTAACTTTACTATGAAACAGTGTTTTCTTCCTCAGTTTTTTCTCAGTATCCTTCCTCTCCGTCATTTTTCTCAGGAAATCTCAGTGAAAAGCATCAGTTAGTGTTTAAACGGAATCCTCTGTTTTCCGGAATGCGTATTCCCGCCGTCCGTGACGTGATCCCTCTGGAACGCAGGCTTAATAAGGTCAGGAAGTCTACACTGGAGTTTATCAAGGTAATTAATTGTTCGCTCGGTTACCTTCGCAGACCGAAACCTTGTTTCTTTACTATGTGAATTTCGGTTAACAAGTACAGCTGTGCTAGTTGCCTCTTTGATCAAGCATCCATCACATGTTCCAAGCCCATTCAGACAGCAGTTCAGATGTACCCAGCGCAAGTTGATGGAGTGGTCATAACACACTCTCCCGATATTATATGTCCGAGTTCAAATCCCAGCACTTCCAGGGATGTTTAGTCCTGATGAACACTACCAGCAAAACTGTAGTCCAGTGTTTCTCCGATTTGTTTTGAACCGAATTGGGACAGGGTGGTACGAGGACTGTTCAAACGACAGTAATATGGATATTTAACTTTATCTGAGGTCAGTAGGTTGGGTTTCAGAGTGATGGGATTGTTTATTGTGTCACATTGCGCCCGTCAGTAATCAACCCTGGGCCTCAGTGGATATGTGACCCTTTTTCCAAGGGGCCATTTGACATGCCCGGTGAACGACCCTTAATGAGGGTGGATGTCTTCATATGTTCAAGTTTTGGTAACTGACTTGCTTGCCTGATAAATCTTATATTTGACAGCTGTTCCTGCTCTAGAGCCTAGTGCCGGAAAAAGCCTCACCGATAAGAAACACAACAGGTTTATTGCGAATAAGCAAGTGTGCGCGGGTGCAATACCTACAAGGGACCTCACGCTATTCGGATTTAACTTTCATCGATCCAGGCTGTTGCTGGATTGAGTGAATACTTGATGGGCCTGGATGCTTGCCGGCTTCCTTATTGAGATTTTGGTGGACTTTTAGGGTCTCAGTAGGTTCCGAGCCTTCTGGGTTGCTTTCAGGAAGCTGACCTTCCCGATAATAAACAACTGGTGTTTACCAAACCTCTGAAACAATGACTACCCAGTCGGTCCCAAACATTTCCCAATTGATAATAAAGGATACACTTTTTCACTGTTGTTGCTGTAGTTAATGGCCAAAACTCTGCCAATCAATTTCACACTAAACACAAGATTGACCGAAGTAAGGTCGTTCGAGTTCAATACTAAGCACGGCAACTTCTTATCGTTTCAGAATCATGTAGGCCGTCTATGTAAAATTCCTGATGAAAGCAAAACTTTTGAATGCCCTAATATTAACTTCCCATTCCTCAGGAATGTCTTCGTCTTGATGCGAATGATCGAGCAACTGCATCAGCCCTCCTTCGTTCAAATTATTTCACGCGAGACAACTTCTCCACCTTTTTTACCGAAGAACTCAAGCGACTCGTGCAGTATGAGAACCCTACGAACGACCGGACTCAGTCGCCGAAAGCAACTAATGGTGGTGGTGACCAATCACAGACTTCTCTCGCTTCAACTTGTGGTAATCTGCTGCCGATTTTTGACACAGGTAGTCAGCCAGGCGACCCAAAAGTACACAACAATTCAAACCCTGTCCCGTACCACAGTCTTACGAAGGTTAGTCTATAGAAGGAACCCAAAAGCTTCTCTGTACACGACTGTTTCTAAGATGCGATTGTCCGAAATACAAAGCTGTGAGTAATCGATTACTCAGTTACTCGACTTAATTCGATTGGTCTTTCCTGCATCATTCGCATCGACCTGTTCGTTCCGTCCCTCCCATCGTTTGTGTAGCATATTTCCGCACGGTTGCGAATTGAGACATCAGCTGGAAGTACTGTTTGCTGGGGTTGGATGCCTGTTATGGTTACATTCCGATTGACTGAGAGTCATCCTTATGGTGTTTAAGCTAGTCATCTTTAATGGCCGTGTAGAGAGCTGTTACAGTTCATTGGTGCTGTCTCAGGAGAATCCAAGATATTACGGGCCCGAATTATTAAAATTCTAATACACAGTAATAACTTTTGCACGGTACTAGTCCTCAGCAGGAGAATTCTTTCATGAAGCGAATTCGAAGGTTGTCCTCCCTTCCAGAGCTACCGTTCAACCAATCACACGATGGCATGACCTGATGATGATGAAACCCGAGTAAGAATGAAACAGCTCGCCTCATTCTCTTGAATTCATCTGAGTAAGACCACTTCACATCTGTGATTTGCAACCTCTCTTATTCAAAGATGAGATGGAACGTATGCCAGTGGAACTGTTTTCGTTGTGGATGGTGTTCAGCTTAGAGTTCGACAATTCTCAGTCGTGAGGGTGCGAATTTACTAGCCGGAAGGTGCGCGGTCCCGATTGCTCCTGCCTAGGCTTGGGCAATATTTCAGCCTTCGTATCTCCTTCGAGTGATAAGGCAGCTGGGCACCTGAAGGATGTTAACCCTGATCGTGTATTACCATTATTACTGTGCCATTCCGATTTATACAGTTCAAAAACATGGAAACTGTAACCAGAATACGTCAAAGTACTTCTAGTGTTTGGCAATCGGTGCTTCAAAAGCATCGCTTGCGTGTGGTGAGAATATCGGTTTAGCAAAGCTTAGATCTGTCGAGTGCTTTTTAGTGAGGAGAGACTTATGGGTGACAGCTGAGCTTGTCACTGACCTAACTGTAACAGCTGCAACTACTGTAGACCGATATAAGGTCTAAGGGTGACAACGAATTCGCTCAAAAATATCTCTCCGAACGTCTTTACCGCGAACAGTTTCGCCATACTTTATTCAGATGAAGCCTGATAGTGGCAAAAATCACCATTGCAGTCCAAAATCCGTAAACCTTTAATTTTCCATCAGATATTTAGAACATAATATGACACCAATAATTCTTTTCACTGATTCACAACCTCATACTGTGATCAGGGAAAAAAATTCAACGTGGGTGATACTCAACCAATTCGCTTACCTAGTGATTTAGGACCAAAATACCGTCCTTTACATCGATTGGTTACTTTTTCATCAATTCGATGTCAGCTCTTTCTCCATTTTCAGGCAAGCCCATTTAATGGAGAACAGCTCTCAATCAACCATGACAGTTCTGTTGTGCTTGCGGCTTACGGCTGTGTGAAAGCTAGCTTCCGCATTTTCTTCCTTCTGTATTTCCTTGATCTTTAGATTACTTTCACAGGTTTTCGTCGGGGAGGCCGGTGCGTTTATCAATCTGGGTACTTCGTGAACTATCTTCGTACAGGCATGACCGTGTCACTCATTCCTGTTGCTGTGGCAACGACCGGTTAACCTGACGACAAGTGTCCCACGCCCTCCAGATTTGTTTGGCTGCAGGTTCTCTTCCGATTCACTGTCCAAACCATTTAGCCCACGATCAGTCCATACCATGGTTTTTCACCACTTTTTTAGTCAGGTCACCGTGACAGTATCGCTTGTCAAGACAACGGGTGTGTACCTCAGAGTTTCTGGTTCTTGAGTTCGTTGTTTCAAGGTGATCGGTCATGGTTTCGTGAATTCAGTCCCCCACCACATTTTGGTTTAAGCTCTGACATCAGTCTGGACATGTAAGAAATGCACACTTGATTTTTTTTGCGTTTGAATCATAGTTACACAAACATGTTAGGTTTGAATTTGTAAATTCAGTGTTGGAAACAGCAAAGCTTTCACGTGTCCAGGGAATTGAACATAAACCTCTAGTTTGGCTGAATAGCTTCAGGGTAATGTGCTGCACACTGTTTATAGTTTTTTAAATGTCAGAACCTATTCACGGTCAGAATCAGAAGAATACTACTGATTCTTCTGAACTGGTCTTGAAGCTACCCTCATGCGTCCACTTTGCTGTAACTACCTCGGCATATATGTCTTGATCATTTGCCTTCGGTTTTTGACGGAACTTATGCACGGAATGAGTGCATGTCAAACTGAAAACGTAATATGTCGGTACAGAAGCTATGTTCTAGTGTTAAAAGTCATATACATCGCCACTTACGTAATTTCCGTCTTATTTAATGCGTAGGCTCATGTTACTGATCAGCACTATTTCTGAAATGGAATGTTGAAATATGGAAGCACGTGGGTCGGGTTCATTTTAATCACCAATAAGTTCGTGCTTACCCGAACGTACAAGGGGTATTTCTACGCAACTTTCGTTTCAGTGTAATCTCCCACCAGATTCAGATGAGGAAACCACACCAAGACCCAGGGAAAGCCAACCCCAGGAATTGGCAGTTCATACCAGCTCAGGACAGTCCTCAGCAACATTTACATCCCCATCTACAAGTCAGAGCCAATTACACCACTGCTCCTTGACATGCCTGAAGTCGGCGCCTTTGGTGAGTATTTGCCTTTGTATGATTTTTACTAGTACACAAACTACTGAATGAATGCAATATGTTTCGCACGATTTTCTTTACGTACATGTGCAGTCTCAGCTAAGGTTAGACGCATTCGTTCCTCTTCCTGTTCCCCATTACCTTCAAGCTTTCCTTAGGCTCCGATTCAAGCACTGCTACTTTCTAGATTGATAAAACTTGCAGCACTGGTTTCGTAGTGCATTAGGTAAACACAGCATTCTAATTGCAGCCGTTTTGGCCTTTCTGCACAGGAACTTGCCAACATAGGCAGTCAACGTGAGACTCAAATAAGTCTTTCGTTTGGGATGTCTGTTCGACTGCTGTTCAGTGCAAAGCAACCCTGGGGTTCGCTATTAATGGATGGCTTATTAACGCATTCGTACTACGCGGTGTGTGTATTATTTGACGAGGAAAAGGTTCGCGGTATAGTGTTGTATTGTCTGATATTGACTGGACTCGGTACGTACGGACAATGGGGAACGATTGCTTCAGCTGTGTGCTGATCGCAGGCTGTTTTTATGCAGTACTAACTTCCGAAATAGCCGGAGTCGTCTGGCCACTTGGTGTTCTCCAACAACAGGCCGGCCACAAACTCAAATCGACCACGTTGCCATCAGTTACCGATGGCGCGAGTCCATAACTGACTGCCGGTCGTTTTGGAACACATTTGTGGACTCTGACCACGCGCTCGTCCGGAGTCGCTTCTCCCTACGTTTCCCGGGGTCGCGTAAGGTGCGGACAAATCGCATGGCAACTGAAAGACTGGCAGATCCGGATGTCAGACGAACTTACAAGAATCGTCTTCTAGAGTCTCTTCCAAGTGCTCCACCATCAGATGTGAACTCATACTGGGACGAGATTGTTACCTCTTTGCATAGTGCTGGGAATTTTGCCTGTGGCACGACCCAACCAGGCGCTCTCAAGCACTGGATATCAGACCGAACGGTGGC